TTCAATTAAAGGAGAAAGCCTCTTTCAAATCCTGGCCCTACCTGCAAATAACTGTGTGCCCCTTGACACACAGTTTTATGGATGTAAATAATTTATATGTATACAGCAACCAATGCAGGCCTATGTGGACTTAGTTTCCTTGTTTGTTTTGGGAGGGGTTGTTTTGTTTTTTTGTTTGTTTATTTTTGTTTTTCGAGACAGGGTTTCTCTGTATTGTTTTGGAGGCTGTCCTGGAACTAGCTCTGTAGACCAGGCTGGCCTCGAACACACAGAGATCCACCTGCCTCTGCCTCCCGAGTGCTGGGATTAAAGGCATGGCCACCAACGCCGCAGTTGTGGATTTAGTTTCTTAAGATGACATTTAAAGCCTATATAAAGACAAAGACATACACACACACACACACACACACACACACACACACAATCTATGTTAATTTTTTGTATTCCATTTATGGGATAAAAGCATAAACAAATCTTCAATCTCATGATCACTATTTCTACCCATCTTCATTGTTCTTTCCCTAGTTTAGAGGTGATTTTGTGTTGTTTTACATTCAATACAGTGACTGAGCCTTAAGCAACTGCTGTCTCAAGCAGCAATTTCAACTCAGCAGCCACCAGCAGTGGTTCACCACATGGGCCTGCAGCCAGGTTGGGATTCTGTTCCTTCAGGCACCGGCTCTATCGGCTCTATCATGCCACCAAAGGGAACTTTATCTAAACCTCTAAAGAGCTCAGGATTCCAAAGGTGGAGGTAAAATCCTGCTAGCCCAGAGAGGCTGAGTAGCAAGTAGCTAATCTTCTTTCCTTACTCGTATCTGCATCTCTTGAATAAATGGCTGTCCTCCTGCCCAACCTCCGTTAAAGATGCCTCGATACACTTAGCTCCTCCCTACCGCTCCCTGTCAGCTAGTTGCTGACTCAAACTCCTGACCCCAAACTAATTTTATTTAATTAAATGCAACGCATCTTTGCATCCTTAACAAAGGCAGCAGGAACAAATGTAACACAGTTAAAATAATATTCCACAACAATTTTGTGCAGTGTAATGGATTGCCTTCCTTTCTTTTCACCACCTCTGTCTATAGAGGAATTCTTTTCCAACTTCAGCTTTAGGCTTGTGCTTGGGATTAGGCACTATGGCTTATTCAGCTGTTTCAGTCCTCAGAGCAACTCATGTAGCTATGAAAGATAAACTTTACCTAAGAAAAGAGGGAAAGGGGTCGTATCACGTTCAGAAGCCCTTCATGGGGTCTGTGAGGTCTGTGCCACTTGTATAAGATCAGATAAGCAGCTCTTCCCCACTCTCTTCCCCACTGTTTCCCTGGGGTAGACAGAACTTTTCCTGTCTCCCTCTTCTCTTCTGCCCTTTCTCTGTCACTGTGTCTCTTTACCTCTTTTCTCCCTGTCCCCTTCCCTTTCTAATAAAACTTCTCACTTAAAAAAAAAAGATCAGATAAGTGTAATAGTCCTATGGGAAAGGAACCTGAATATGGAGATCTAATAAACTCAGAGACATTGGCCAATGTCATGTGACCATTCTGCTTCCTCATATCCAACACACACACACACACACACACACACACACACACACACACACACACACACCATCACAAGAATCAAGCATTATTAGATACTTGGAATAGAAATACCAGAGAGTGGTTTGGAAGTCTCTGCATTATTCATTAGAATAGCAGTTTCTCTACTAAGTAGGAAACATACAACATTTACATTCTAGTAGCTGATAGACTGCAATGTAGGAACTCGAAAGGTTTGCCAATGACCAGTACTTAGGTCCTAACAAGACCAAAGTGAAGTCCAAAAGAACAATCTTCCAACTTCCTGTTCCAAAATACTGAGAAGAGAGATACAGCTGCTTGTGGGGAGGCAACCAGGCTAATGGATTTGAGGATTTACTGAACCTTAACCCCTCCCTTCTCAGTGTGGTGACACTGTATATGATCCACTACATTCTATTTAAATTGGAGCCGTCTGCTTTTGCTATTCTTATAAAGCAATTGTGTAGAACTGTGCATATTCCTGGAACATCATAAAGATTTAAATCATAGTCAATTTTTACTATTTTTTCGAATTTTTAAATCTAAAACAGCTTGTGCACCTGAAGAGACTTAGCAATGCTGTTGCATTATGCTGCATCCCACAAGATTCCTTTAGGAAACAGTGATGCTATTACTAAAGGTAATAACTTACATAGCCATCTTTCTCTTATTAGCATCTTTGAAGCAAACTCACATGTAACTGTCTGACTTAGAGGAAAAATATCCAAAGATTAACGAGTGTGTGAGTGAATGGGTGGATGAGCTACGTCACAATCTCCTGTTGCTCTCCTGTCATTCTCCATGCAGTTCCAGCTCTGCTCGATGCTACAGAAGCATGACTGTCCCCAGAGATCTCAGTGATGGTCTAGCGTTGTACTAAATTAAGTGGAAATCACTACAAGACTTCCATTCGGCTAGTATGTTCTATTTTATTCTCCGTTATTTTTTAAACAGAACTACCCAGACGTAGCTAGATTGGGGGATGCAGTCCTACTCCTGCCTTTTGACAGAGGTGAAAATAGTAACACAACAGGCAGACAGGTAGCAGAAGAACTGAGGAGAATCGTTCGTCACAAGGATGGTCCTCCACCTTGGAAAAAAATGAGAAATGACCAGAGGTGACGCTGAACTACAAAGCCATTGAGTCTAGAGGGACCTGCAAGGGACATACTAAAGAAAACAAAGTGATTATGCAGTGGGAGAACGTTGCTGGGGCAACAGTCCTGATTCCTGGCATTCCATTAACTGCCAGGCCTTCAGGGTCCTCCTCTTTCTTGAACAAGTGACCCCAGTGCCTACTTGCTTCCTAGGGGCGGATGTTAACAGGGGTAGCCAATTTGGGGGATGTTTTAAAACTAGGAGTGGAAAGGACACATAAGGTGGAAAGAACTGGTCCTCAGATGTCACAAATGCCTTTCTGTGGCATGAATATTCTGTCTAGGGCCCTGCCTGCTCCAGGCCCTGGATATCTCGATTCCCATCCTGTCTCTCTACCTCTTGTAGATTCCCACCTCTACACACACGTTCTAGGTTTCGTTGGCCTCGCTGAGTCATTGAACCGTCAGACTCAAGGCACCCACCATCATTAATCATTACTCTGCCATGGCAGAGCATGGAGTCTCAGAAGCGGTATAAATCTAGGAAGGTAAAGTAGTGGGTAGACTGGAATTGGGTGTTGAAGCTCATTAGAGTTGCCCACAATTTTTTCTTTTCTTTTTAATTTAAATTAGAAACAATCTTGTTTTACCTATCAATCCCAGTTCCTTCTCCCTCCCATCCTCCCATGTTCCCCACCGACCCCCATCCCATCCCTCTTCTGCTCCATAGAAAGGGTAAGACCGTCCATAGGGGATCATCAAGGTCTGTCACATCATTTGGGGCAGAGCCTAGGCCCTCCCCTGTGTGTCTAGGCTGAGAGAGTATTCCTCTATGGGGAATGGGCTCCCAAAATCCATTCGTACACTAGGGATAAATACTGATCCACTACCAGAGGCCCCAGGTCTCCTAACTGACACCCATGTTCAGGGGGCCTGGTTCTATCCTATGCTGGTTTCTGAGCTGTCAGTCTGGGGTTCATGAGCTGTTTCCATGGGTTTCCTCAGCCTGGTTTTGACCCCTTTGCTCATAAATCCTCCCTCTCTACAATTGGATTCCAGGAGTTCGGCTCAGTGCTTAGCTGTGGGTCTCTGCTTCTGCTTCCATCAGCTACTGGATGAAGGTTCTAGGATGGCATATAAGGGAGTCATCAATCTCATTATAGGAAAAGGGCATTTAAGGTAGCCTCTTCACTATTGCTTAGATTGTTAGTTGGGGTCATTCTTATAGATCTCTGGATGTTTCCCTAGTGCCTGTTTTCTCTATAATGACTCCCTCTATTAAGGTATTTCTTTTCTTGCTCTCCTCTATTCTTCCTGCTCCCTCATGTCCTCCTTCCCCTCTTCTTAACCCCTTCTCTTTCTCCTAACTCCCTCTCCCCTCCTCCCCCAGCTCCCAACTTGCTCAGGAAACCTTGTCCCTTTCCCATTTTCCAGGGTACCACGCCCCTTTCCCGGTCTCCAGGGGACCATGCATGTCTCTCTTAAGGTCCTCCTTGTTTCCTAGCTTCTCTGGAGGTGTGGAATGTAGGCTGGTAATCCTTTGCTCTATGTCTAAAATCCATATATGAGTGAGTACATACCATGCTTGTCTTTTTGTGACTGGGTAATCTCACTTAGGATGGTTTCTTCTAGTAGTTCCATCCATTTGTATAGGTGCCCACAATTTAACTCTTGTAATTCTTTTTAGATAGGCACAAATATCTAAACTATCCTGTGACTGTTCTAGAAGTGTCTGTCCATGACCTCGAAGGGCAAGTTTTGCTTCATTATATTGGGCATCTTCCCAGAAGAAGGCCCTCTGTAATATTGTGGAAAATGAAAGCAACATGACCTGTGGTCGGCGCCTGTGTTTACCGGTTAATGAAAACAAAAGAGGTTTATATTACTGCCTATAATTAAAAGATGTATCATTTCCTTCAAATAATAATCATCTTGTCAATAATTGTTCCATAGATGATTCTCTTCTACCATCTGATCAGGAACCACTCCTCCTTTGTAACTTTTCATTTTCCTTAATAAGTGTTTCCCCAAATCTGTGTGGGCATTTGTTTTAGTATCCTCTCTCATGTTGTATGTTCTATGTATTCAGTATATAACTGTTGTCTGTTCCAACTAATAGCATTAGATCAGGTAGTCAGTAAGCTTTCAAAAAAAATCAAAACCCCCATTTGACATTGCATCATGCCAATCAAATCAAGAGAGCCTGAGTTTCTGAATATCCTGCCTTGTCTTTCTGAGTCATTAGAACATAGTTCTCACTACACCCCTACATTGCCTTCCCTATAATGAATGCCAAAATGTCAGCTGACTTGACCAGGTCTACATTTCTTTTCTGTTGCTCCAGGATTCTTCTACAGCCAGATGATTCCTTACAGATCTTGGCACCAGTGGAAGCTGATGTGGGTTTCTATACTTGCAATGCCACAAATGCCTTGGGATATGACTCTGTCTCCATTGCTGTCACATTAGCAGGTAACCTGAAAACCCCTATCCAGTTCTATTCAGACATCTTTATGAATAAATGCCTATAATGTGTCACAAATGCCTAGGATGCCCCAATCTTACCCTCAGGGAGTTTGTAATCTATAATCATAATAGAAATGAAGTTTAGCTTAAAGGAGAATAAAATATTGCAACTGAAAACCAAAGAGTGGGCAGGGACATTTTATATATATGAGGAGGCCTTAGAGTTTGGGTAAATAGGATGTTTTGTAAGTGGAAGCAGCAAAGAGAGCAGTGGGGAATGGGCAAAGGTTATGTACACAGGCGCATGGCACCATGGGGAACACATGTGAAGTGTGAACTATGATTATTGAATGTTCTTTGGAAATCCTGCCATTTCTCCTTGTCCCTCCTCTTGTCAAAAAAACAGAAGTGAGACTTCAAGGCTGTGGCAACTAGAATTCTGTAGTCGTACCTTAGAGCAGAGTGGTCCCCAGAACTTCTCTCTGATCCTTCTTTATTCAAACTGGAATTTTGCTCAGATGCATTCCTACCAATGTTTTTCCCATATCCACAGGTTAAACAAAACTTTCCGTACATTGTGACTTAAATCACCAACACTCAGAGTACAATGCTTTCCAAGACTGCAGTATTGAAGCAATGTCCTTTTATAAAACTTCTTAACCTAGGACAAATTCTTGCCCTTGAAACCAGAAGAGACCTTAGATACTGATTGAGCCAAAACCTCATTTCTTACAGGCCAGGCAACCTGAAGTCATACCTCTCCCTAGCTAACATGAGGAACATGAAGGGGCTGAGGTCTCCTAAAGCTCAACAATTCATTACCTCCACTGCCCCATTGATCCCATCAAGACAGGGTCCTTTTTCTTAGACCTGGTCCAACAGTCTTTGTAGCAGTGTGTTGCATGTGTTTGTATTTATTCTTTTCAATTGCTACTCCCATCTGATGATTCAGTAGATGCTGGGAAAGCCGGCATCACCCACACTGACCTCATCCGTCTATGAGGGGATTATGTTGTCACACTGTACTCTAGTCTCACATGCTACTCCCTTTCATATCTGTTTTGCAAGAGTATTTCTGCCCCTATGACCTAAGGCTGAATCTTGGAAAGGACCTGCAGCAGCAGCTTTGCAGAGAAGATGAAAGCTGATAATGAAGAAGGCAGGATAAGGTGCCTTAGGGTGAATTAAAAACAGACAGACACATTTTCTTTTCCCTAATGTATTCCAGTCTCAATCTTCATTCTTTTAAAATCTCTTCTGCTGCCTATTCTCCAACCCACACTTCCATGGCATTGTTGACATGCTTCCAATTGCTGGTCAGTGGTGGATTTGCTCTCTTGTTTATATTGAGTTAGATACAGCTCAGCTCTGCCACGGACTAAATACCCTTGTTTGCCCGAATTTAGTACAATGAATGGAAACTTGTCTGGTGTTAAACAAGGCTGTTGTAACATCAGACTCATCTTCAACCCTTTGAAGGCACGCTTTTGAAAGCTGCCAAGAAGTTCAAAGCCAGAGAAAAGAGACAGAGGGGCTAGAGAGGCAGGCACCAAGGAAGTTGGGAGGAAGGGGCTGCATGATGAGGTATGACCACAGACATTATGTCCCCATCCTTCATCTGCCACATTTGTCCAGGTCTGCTGATAAATCCTTCCAGCAACCCCTCTAAAAGCAATGCTGAAAATGTGGGCGTTGCCTTCACACCATTCACACTTTTGTCTGTGGTTGTCATCCACACCTCATCCAATGTTGCAAAACATTCAGTAAGAAAACTCAAGTTTGGGCTTTCAAAATGCTAACAGATCAGGGAAGATAGTAAATGTGTCTCCCTCAAATGGAGAAATCGGTGTGATCCTGCTCAAGTCACACCTGTAATCCCACCACTTGAGAGGCCGAGGCAGAAAGATAGGAGTTTCCGGGCAGCCTGAACTATTTAGCAAGCTCCAGGCCAGCAGGGGTTCCATGGAGAAACCCCATCCCAAAACAAAACAAAGATGCTGTTCCACAATGTATATCATATGAGCTAAACATAACCTGAGTTTGGAGGCAGGAATGAATATGGAACACTTCTAAATTTGATTATCAGTTATTCTGCTTATTAGCGACATGATCTTGAAAAAAGTACAAACCTCATTGTCTTGGGTATTGGTGAAAGTAATACTATCCACAGGATTGTGTGAGATTAAGATTGTAGGTGTGATAAGGATCTTAAACTGAGGAATGCTGGGGGGGGAGAGATAGTCTTCCCCATAGAAGAGCACACCAATTGCTTGCCCAGCACCCAATGCTCAGCCCTGAACATATACATACAAGTAATATTATATTGACTGAAGAGGTTATATCCAGAATATGTGTGTACACATAGACATATATGCATGCAATAACAATAAAAGAAGAGGCCATGAATTTGAAAGAGAGTGGGGAGGGATATGTGGGATTGTTTGGGGGGAGGAAAGGGAAGGGAGATATGTTGTAATATCTGATAATCTGTGTGTGTGTGTGTGCGTGTGTGTGAATGAAAAAAGAGCTTAGACTAGTGCTGGCAACATGATTCACACAATAAATGTTAGCTTTCTTTCACTAACTCTTCTAAAGTGAAAACAGCTCTAAGATTGAAAAGCATCAGCCCAGCTTTGTGTCCATGCTGTTTATAGCCTGAGTCTTCAGTACCAATGTCCTTCAGGTGTGAACTTAGCTCACTTACAGTCAAATTCTTGTAAGCCCTGGGTGCTGCTGTGCCCATGGAGAAATTGCAGTGTGTTTTTTTCCCTGGACTTCGCTGTAAGTGAAGGTCAAAGAGAAAGAAAACTGAGGCTCAAGAGAAATAAGTGGACTGATAATTTCCCAAGAAAAGTACAGGCTTTGGCCCTGTGGATGCCCCCTGTGTTGATGCAGGGAGCCTCAGAGTGCAGGTCTTAATCACACTTGGCACTGCCTAAGACCCCATGCAGAAACTTAACTTGCTGACATCATGAGAATTACCAGTACCTTCTAGAAATATTCTGTGATGATTAAATCAACTCATTCACGTAAAGTGCTTAGAACAATCGTGCCCAGCTCATCTCAGGTACTCGCTGCTTGTTAGATGGGATTACTATTTGTAGTATCAAACCAAAGTCAGCTAATCTTTGGACGCCCTCAGAGACTACACTGCTCACCAGCACCTTGTGAAGGCCATTTCTCTCAGTGTCTCCGAGAAGCTGCATTAGCCAATTGTAAAGTGCTTGAGCACCCGGACTGAGACAAGGGAGGTGGCTTGGGATAAGAACATCAGGAGAGGCACAAGTAACTCTCATTTTTAATTGCCTCTTAGATAATATACAGGTATGGCAGAGCTAGGTAGAGGAGAGTTTTTGATGTATACTCGTAATAGCAGGAGATTGGAATACGATCTTGGCCTTCCTAACCAGGATGGCGCTGGCAGTGTCTTGAAGAAAAGCAGTAGTTTCCTGGTAAATTGCTTCCGTCTGCATCAGATAGCTCCACTTACCAATGCAGATGAGAGCCTCTCCAGGTGTAGATCATTGCTGAAGTCATGCCCAAAAGGGAAGTGTTGCTGGTTGTCATTGATTTTATAAGATCACAACCAAGGTCAATGGAAAATGAGAGGATGAGGGCTAAGGGATGGGTGTATCTGTCATGGAAAGGGGAGAGCACAGATGAGCTCATCTCGAGTCTGCACAGGGAAATAGAAAATGCTTCTCCTTTCTTGGCACGCTTTCCTGTCTTTTTGTGAGTTGAGTAGCTGACACATATTGTGTCTAGTAAAGAGATCACAGAGACCCTGCTGGGAGAATAAAACTAAAAGGTGGTTGTTTTGAAATTCTTTCTCTGCCTCTCCTCATCATGATTTAGTAGCTGCAATAAAAAAAGAAAAGGAATTGTGTAAGCTTTTCATAATGTTAAGTCATTTCAAATTGGCAGCCCTCAAGTTTTTCAAGCAGCCATTGTTAACTAGAGTTTTCTTCATCAAGTTAGACTAAAAGAGGTCCTTGTTACCAGTAGCAAATGCTGATGAAAGAAACTTTTCAACAGTGTCCAGATGAAAAGGAAGGCTAGATGGGTTTGAGTGTGTCCCAGTGGTACTCTGAGTCACATGGGTGCTAGCCAACTGACTGAGCCCATGGACCCTATTACAGACCAGGATCCCAAGTGATCAAGGCCTTAAGTTCCCAAGTGCAGAATCATAGAAAGCTCATCAAAGACCTATGCTTCTGTGGAACCTAAAGATAAAGATGAGAGTATGTTTACTTGACTCTCAAATAGACTTGAGGAAACAAATAAGGTACCAGCAAGGGTTGCACGGTGACTTGTCCCAACACCATGGAAAAAGAAAAACTCCCTCATCTGCCCTCTAGTATGCTAGAGGGATGGATGGCTGGGCAGATGGCAGCAGCACCTCTTCATTGTGGTTTCTAGGAGAGTCTGCAGCCACCTACAGCCATACCCACAATGCATCCTTTGGACTCTCTGTGTAACGTGCAAAAGAAATGGCAGAACTTTAGCTGTCTGTTCTCCTGAGGGGTCAAGTTCAGTTAATTGATTAGATGAGATACTGGCAGTAAACTGAGTAACATGACATCCGGGTGTGGGCAAAAAGAAATAGCTAAGGTGAAGTAATGGAATCAAGGCAGCTTGGACATGTTTGGGAAAGGGCTGTGTGAGCCATACTCATATCCTCTGATGCTCGGGACCCTGCAGCATTTATACCAAAACGCACCAAATAAACAGAATTTCAAGGATAAAGAAACTCCCATTCCTTCTCTACTCCACTATGAGTGCACAGTTCAAATGTTTATTCGGCAAATCTGTACCTTTTTGTAACTATTCCCACAAATGAAGGTTTCTTTCATTTTTTAGCAGTTTCACTGAGGCATTGTCCATATACCAGCTAACTCTATGACTGCACACAAGTCAGTGACAGTTGGTTTATTCAGAGTTGGGCATCTGTCATCACATTCAACTTTTGAACACATTTTTCATTCCTCCCAAAATCAACTCCACAC